TAGAAATTTCCGTCACGATTCGATGGATCTCCCCATTTTTGTCACGATCGAGATTAGTTTTTCATTCGAACGGTGAATGGCCACGATGTCGCACCTGGAAACTGCGATTATCCGGGAGGACGAAAAAAAGAAAAAAGAAAAAATGTCGCGATGAAATGTGCGTTATTTACGTCTGGGATCGGGATATGTTGCGGCGATCTCGAGCCGCGAAATTGACACGAATGAAAAAAAAATATTAGCGGCTCGCCGGTTATTTGACAGTGACCAAGTAATTCTGTCGACAAATTTTTACCGTAATTTTTTCGACCGTGCAATTGTCATCCGCCATACAACTCCTCTTGCAACTGTTACCTGTCCATTAAATTTCTTAAATAAAATCTTGGATATCTTTGGAAAAACTCTCTTCCTCTTCAATCAAAAAGAGGAGATCGTCCCGCATTAATTTTCTAAAATGAAAATTCTTTCGATGAACGTGGAAGCTTAAAATTTCACGAATCATTCCCCGAAGTGAAACTCGAATTCGAGCTTCCCGCCACTTTCTCTTCACCCTTTGAAAAATTTTTAGAAAAAGAAAACGTCTCTATGACTCGATAATCTCCCCCAAAAACAAAACCACACATTTCCAAACCACAATTCCCAAGTACGAACTTTCAATCGTAAATTTCCACCAATACCATCATCCCTCTATCTCTTCTAAAGTTCATATATATATATATATATATGCATATATTCCATCTCGTGAATTGGAATATCGTAAAATCTGCAAAGTAGAATTGAAAAAAAAAAAGAAAAAAAAGGAAGGGAGAAAGAAAAAAAAATATATTTCTTGTTTTCTTCTCCGAAAACGTCTTTTCGGACACTTGGGGCGGAATTATAGGGGTGGATCGTCATTCTGTGTGTGAAGGAATACGATCCCTTGTAAGAAGGTAGAACGAGAAAGAAGCCGAGAAAAGTTTTTCTGGCAAAGGAAGCTCGTTCGATTCGTTGTTTCATTCGTTGTGGACCATCCTCCTCCTCCTCCTCCTCCTCTTCTTCTTTCCTCCTCGCGTCGAGGAGGCACGTCCCGCGCTCGATATTCGAATCACGCCTTGGGACTGGAATAACACTTTCCGCAAATAATAGCCCATCTGCCGTGCCCCGGCAAAACTGCTTGCCCGTCAAGAAAAGGGATATTTTACGAGCGGCGAGGCCTCGTCAGGACGCGACGTCGTGAACGTCAGTTTCGTTCGCCGCATTTCAATAAGATCGTTCCTCCCCCTCGTGTTGTACGGGAGGGGGTGACCCAGATTCGGCACGTTGGAGACGTGTTCGACACGGTTCGTGGGCCCACTGATGGCTCGTGGCGAGTGACGGATAAGCGGGAATTTTTATAAGGGGTAAAAATATTCACGAGTTCGTTCTTATAATAATAATAAAGCTTGGCGTTCTGATCATCGTAGAGATCGTCTTCTGGTAAAAGAACTTTTTTTAGTTGGAAAAAGTTTTCATTTTCCGCGAGATTGAAAAAATAATTGTATGAAATGCAAGCTTTCTTTCTATAGAACGAATTGTATAGGGGAGGGGAGGGAAATAGGTCGAAAATACCGTGCGCCACTTTTTTCACCGTGCCCCGTTCGATAATTCCGGAATAATTCATTCATTGTCTTTTCGACCGCTTCCACTTCCCCCGTGGAAGGATAGTTCCGCTCGACGCTTTCAAGATCGAACGTTTCTCTCAACAGAATTGATAGGATTCGAGCTTTCATAGGTCCGTGAAATGCAAATGAAATTGAGGAAGAGAAACAGAAGGAGGAGGAGGAGGAGGTGCAACGGCTTATAATAAACTATCGAGTGTCCCGATGATACGAAAGCGGCGAAATGCTCCGATTGGAAAAAAAGAGAAAAGTGTTGGTTCCATTAAGGAGGCTCGTCTCGTTTCGAAAGGAACAGATATTTCGTGTATTAAGTGATCGAACCTCTCGAGATGCACGATGGATTCAATCCCTGGATCGTTCGAGGGAAGTTGGAGAGAGAGAGGGAGAGAGAGAGAGAACCTTGAAAAACTTGTCTCGATACTTCTCCCCCTCCTCTTCCTCTTGCTCCTCTTCCGTTGTGTAGAAGACTTCTGATGTCAATTTTTAGCTCGGAGGATCGGAAGAAAATTGCCAGTGGGTAAATATTCATCGTTGATGCGCAAAGTCTGGCTCTGGATATCGAGATTGAACTGTCCCTTTGTGTTCTTTGATCCGATTCTGGAAATGGAAAAACCGCTGAACGATTTTCCTCGTGAAATTGTCCTGACAGCGTGGAAATTATGCCAAGGAAATCGTTCGAGCGAGGAAGATTCTGTATCGCAGCTATGATATCACAGGATGAAACAACGACAAAACGGAATCTTCTTCTTCTTCTTAAATTTAAAAGGAGCGGTGTCGATTTCGTACGAAACGAAATTTAGCATGAGGAGATATATGAGATTAAAACGTAACGAATTAGTGGAATTTTTAATTCTTCGTTCGCGAGCTGAAATTCA